CAGAGAATCAACTTCTACTCGTATCACACACCTATTTCCAGACAAAAATTCTAACAAATATTTCCACAATCCCAACATTTTTATATCTTTATCCGTTTATGGATTTCAAATATTAGTCAGCATAAAAATCTGTCAAATATTGAAGCACTAGTCTAAGATTCTCTGTTTTAACATACCCGATTAAAATTTTACATGACTTAATTGGCCTGAGCAAAAGCTTCGACGGACATTGAACTCTCATTTCTCTGTTGGATCTGCGTCTAAAGCTTCCACATTTTGTCGGATTAAGACTCCCAACAACATCTGTAATTGAAACAGAGACAATCGAATTATTTCATTTCGTTAAGTAAACGAAGTGATAGAAAACTCACAGAAACAGAGACACTTGAGAAAGATTCGATTTTTAAAACTTACAAGGAATATGTGTTCGATTGAAGAGCACGTAGAGAAATGTATGAGAACAGAGAGAAAGAGAGAAAGACATTAAGCGAAATCTAATTTTGTAGTTTTTTTTTTCTTGGGTAAAGAAGTGGAAGCACAGAAACACAATGGACTATTTATAGAAGAAAATTAGCCAGCTGAGAAAAGTCGAATTCGAAAAAGTTACCGTTTAAGTTACAAACGGCTACTTACTCTGTCTTTGAGAAGACACCTCTCGTAATCACACAGTAGATGAAGTCATGAAGAAGAAGAACTCACTTAATAGGCCCATTTATATATATTTTTAATGGGGTTTTTCTAGTTGTTACGAACCACAAAGTTAAATATGTCATCTCTAAAATTATTAGGGTTTCTTAAAATATAAAATTATTAAAATACACACTTTTTTTTTTTACTCAACTTTATATTTTTTCTTTCGTTTTTTTACTCAATTTTTATTAATTTTATATTTAAACACTCCTAAAACNCCTCTCCAAAAGTTTCTTCTCATACAACCTATACATACCCTCTCTCCAAAAAATATCCACTATCTCTCCTCTTTATTCAAATTTTATTAATTTTATATTTCAATACACTTCATTATTTCAAAAAAAACATTTTTTTTCTCTCTTTTACTCAAATTTTAATAATTTTATATTTTAAAAATCCCCAAATAACCCCATTGATTATGCTCTAACATGTAAAATGGAGGATTTTTTCTCAAGAGTTTCTTCCAAATATTATATTAATTTTTAAAATAAAATTATATAATTAATTAAAAAAATTGAACCAATTATAATTATTTATTTGACACAAAAGTTTCTTACAAATTTGAAAAAATTTCTTGTTTAAGAATTTTAAAAATTGATTATAAGTTCTCTC